CACTCCCCGCAAGCAGCATGTGCCAGATGCTGTGGGTGTAGTAATAGTTGTCACTGGTCATCATAGAGGTGTATATGGTAATGGCCAAAGCAGCCATGGAGATGCCAGGCAGGAGATAGAAGACCCAGCGTTGCCAAGAAGTGGGGTAGCAGTGGCGCCGGTGCCCACAGCGGTATACCTGGAAAGAACCGTCACATGAGCATTGGTACAGGGGCTGCAGCTGCAGCTCCCAGGGGCCCACCCAGGTCTGGGCAGCAGGACCATGGGGAGGGGCTCAAGGGCACAGAGTCCTGATGGGTCTTCAGGCCCAGACTTTGTCATGAAGACACCCTGAGCCTTATAGGTGCCACTGGAAGCCCTCAACAGATATGTAGGACTCAGACCCAGGACCAGGAACATGGCCAGAATGAGGGGCCAGGCTCTCTCTTCCCAGAGTGGGAGTCTATGGAGAGCCCACACTCTCTTACCCACATGGAGCTCCTTACCCACATGGTGACCATGATCACAAAGGCAAAGAGGCAAGGCCCCATCATATTCCAAGCACCCCTGCGATCCAGCTGTAAGGACATGGCGAACACTAGTGTGCCCAGGAGAAGCAGAACCTGAGTAAGATACAGGGACGACCATAGGGTCACAGGAGCCCCAGGCCAGGGTTGTCTGTGATGGAACAAGATCCAGCAGGAGCAAGCCTGGGCATGCTGGTCATCCTGCTGGCCCCCACTGCCCCTCAGCACCTCTGCCTGCCCCCTTGGAACTGCTGGCACACTTTGTTCTGCTCTGCTGGCAGAGAGGGAAGCACCCCTCCTCTAGTTACTGATCCACCCACAGGTAAATTTCCGAGGTACTACTTAGCCAGGCAAAGCACCGGGGCACACGTCTCCATTGGCTAGGCCCGGCTGCTACAGAAAAGTCCCCAAAGTGTCCTCAACACCAGGGACTTCAGGATCACAGCTGGGGGCTTCTCAGAGAGATCTGACCTAGGATTGGGACTCTAAGCCTCCTCCCTGAAGAGAGCCCTGGAAGAAAGATGGGTTGGTGGGGGAGGGGCATCGCCTAACCCTGACCTCCACCTTCCTTTCCTGGAATCCTCCAAGCAGCAAGCACAGTCCCTTCCAGCTAGCAGAAGCTTCTTCCAGAGAGCGACTGGTCATTACAAGATATGGGAGATTTCTAAGGGCAGCAGCCAAACCTCCTTTCTGGTCTCCCTCTCAATATGCCATATGCAAGGGCTTCTGCTCCCCCAGAGCCCAGATCCAGGTGTCAGGAGGTCACTTACATATTTCAGGGCTGCCTTCAGCCGCGCCATGCAGAGGATGGTGACCCAGATGGACACTCCGGAACCCAGGAAGTCACAGTACTGCAGGGTGTCGTAGTTGAGGATACACAGCACCGCCTCCCCCGGCTGGTCACAGGCATGATAGAACTGCGGGGCAGGGTGTTGAGCAGAGGCCCAGACCTCCCTACCATCCCCACGAGAGCAGGTGGGCCTACCGTGGAGAAGAACATGGTGTAGGCATAGACGGAGGCCTCCACTAGGAGGCAGCGGTACACAGAGAGGGTGATGGGAGCCAGGAACATGAGGTTGCTGAGAGTGAGCAGGAGTGTGGCCATCCTCTGCTGGGCTGTGCTCTGGGCGGTGCTGTTGTCCGTGCAGCTCCACCCACGCCAGCCTGTGGGCCAATGTGATGCCAAAAGAGCTGAGGCTGGACAACTGAGACCAGGCTGTGGGGCACTTCTGAACCTCAGGGTCTACCCCTCACCCAGGGCCCTGCAGAAAAGCTCCTTTCTCACCCAAGAGCAGGCTGAGACAGGTGTGGGCAGGTGTGAGGCATGTGGGTAGGTATAGGCCAGTGGGGGCAGGGGCAAACAGCCATGGGGCAGGCATGAGGCAGGTATAGGAGAGATGTAGGACAGGTGTGGGGTAGGTACGGGTAGGTATGGGACAGGTGTGTATAGATGTGGAGGTGTGCGCAGAGGTGGTACTCATGTGGGCACATGTGGGATAGGAATGGGACATGTGTAGGCAGGGGAGGCCAAGATCAGGAGGCAGTACCATCTGTGGGGGTGCCTCTCCGTGCTTGCATAGGAGATTGGGGATGTGTGACAGGAGTGGGGAGGAAGCATTTGCCCTTGCTCCGTAGGGGTGCTCTCCAGCCTTGGCAAAACTGGGATGGGCTCCCAGAGGAAGTCGCAGGGCCAGGAAGCAAAGGGCAGAAGTGTCCAGAGGCACCTAGGCCTGGCCCTCACCTGCCTTGCAGCTGCAGCCTGCATACAGGTAGCCATGTCTGCGCAGCAGGATGCACTGGCCATAGGGTCCACAGTCGTCCAAGCAGGGCACCAGGTACAAAGTGGTCTCTACAAGAACCTTGGCCTTCTCACACTCCCTGCGAGGAAGGGGCCATAGGAAGCTGGTTGCTGAGGTTTGCTGGCTGGTCCCCACTAGTGCTTTCATCAGGCTCTTAGACACATGAACCCAGAATTTGGGTACCCAAGCTTTGAGCCCTGTAGGACAGCAGCCATGAGCTCTGCAGAAGACAAGGTGCCCCTCCACCCTCATCCCACCCTGTATCCTAGTCTGTAAGGGCTATGTCCTGGACTCATCCCCCTCCTGGGTCCTGGTTCTGAGGGCTACCTAGGGAGGGGTGGCCAAGTAGAAAAGGGGACCCCTTCATAACTCCAGGAAGGCAACTGACTCTGTGTCACTCCCAAACTCAGATGTAGGCAGCCCCATCCATGGTCCTGAAGGCAGTGATTCAGCCACCTACCCCAGCTGGTATCTCTGGGTGGCACCCACCCCAGTCCCTAAGTTTACTTACTCAGGACTCTGAGGGCACACAAGCTGCAGGGAGAGGTACCAGTTGTCTGTCTCTGGGTAGGGGATGATGAGTTTGGCCTTGAGAGATGAGGTGCTCAGAGATAGGGAGTAGCCCTGAAAGAAGGCTGTAAGGAAGCAGGAAGGCATGGTGGTCAGGAAGGTCAGAAGTGGCCAGAGGGGCTGGCCAGGGTCCCTTTGCCAGAAGCTGCCTGCCCATACCTGTGGTGCAGTTGAGGGAAGCGTTGAAGCGGAGAAAGGGTGAGGCAGCATTCACGCAGACCATTACCAAGGTGTGGTTGGAAATCATACTCTGGAAGGGGTAGCCGTACAGTGTCAGCCCTAAGTTCCCAGTCTGGTGCTGGGCACTGTTCTCTGTGGCTCCCACTGGCCCAAAGCCCACCCTGGACCCTTTCCCTCCAGACCTGGGAACACCCAGCCTCTGATCCCACCCACAATCTTATTTCCCTGGGCACAGTCCTGATGCCCTGTAAAACAGGTCGCCCTTTCTGTAAATGGTACCTCTATTCTGGCCCAATGCCTGTTGGGGTCACTCTGTTGCCTGAAAGGCCACCCTAACCCAATGTCCATAATAAAAGTGCAGGAAGGCCTGAACATCATCGTTCAGCCTGGGGAGGTCTGAGCCCTGAGCTGAGCTGGCCATGAGGTACTCACAGACAAAGGTACCTTGTTGGCCCACAGGGAGATGGTGAGGGAGCCCCCACTGTCCATGCCTGTGTTGAGGTACAGCCGCATCACCGAAGGCATGCCTGAGTGCACCAGCACTGAGACCCTGTCCATGGGCCTGAAGTGCACAGACATCACATCCATATCTTCCCGCATGACCTGGTAGTTCACAAGGCAGAAAGGGCCACCACCCACCCTGCTGCTCCTGCCCAGGTCCTGGTAGCCAGGGCTTGGGGGCAGCGGACTAGTGGAGGCATTGCAGCTCTGGTTCGGGCTGCTCTGCAGAAGATGCTGGAAGTTCACAATCCATGGCCTGCAGGCTGTCAGGACAAGGGGTTCAGCTAGAGGAAGTGAGGGGGCAGAGCCACCCCTACCCTGCCCTCCCCATGTAGCCCACCTGTGAGAGTAGCTACAGCGCTGAAAGCCACTGACACATGGGGCCCTGCCAGGCTCTTGGCCGTCACTTGCAACCACCGGTCCCAGGGTGGTGAGGGCAGCAGCAGGTGGCACGCCCAGGTGGGGCCGGTACAGGTGAGCACCTTCTGAAAGTTGCTAGGCAGGGTGGCTGAGCCCACAGTGAGGTGCACAGGGCAGCCCAGGCTCCCGTTGGAAGCACAGCCCTGCAGCTCCAGCCGCAGCTCCTGGGTGTACTCAGGGACAAAGATTCTGCAACCAAGGGGGATGACCAGGCTTGGGCTCTATGGCTTCTAATAACCTCCCCTTGCTGCTCATACTCAGAGTAGTGGTCCCACTTCCCAGCACAACCCTAAGACCTAGGCCCCACCTTTCTTGCCCACACAGTGAGGATAGTGGTACCACCCACTCCACCAAACCTGGAGACTAGGCCTCCTCCAAGGTCCCCTACTCACTTGAGGTAGCTGGGGTGGGAGAGGAGGGTCTGTGGAAGGGGCACATTGGGTTCCAGGATGGAGACCTCAACCACCCGCATAACCAGCATGTCAGGCTGGAAGATGTAGGCACAGGTGGGAACAAAGCCCTAAGGAGAGAATGAGAGGTTGGGGAGGGAATGCAGAGGCATAGGCAGGGGGCGGGGCAGGACCAGAGACCCCAGGCCTGGCAGCGGGTAAAGGGGCCCAGACCAGAGATGCGGGCTGGACAGGGCTGTAGCAGAATCTAGAGAAGGTCTTCTGTGAGGAGGTGAACAACAGGAACTGGCCATTCCTGCACATTAGTGTCCTACCCCTGCCCATCCCTGGAGGGCAGACCCCTCACCTTCATCTCAATCTTCTGGGATGAGGGGGGCAGGTGAGCAGCCACAAACCAGTCCCCAGGTGCTGGGTGGGAGATGTTGATGGAAGCATTGCTCTGCAGCATCTTGACAAGGAAGGAGGGCTGCACGGAGGTGTTGGCAGGGAAGCTGGTGCCTAATGGGTTGATGACCGGAGGGGCGCCATAGCGGAAGTACCTGAAGTCAGGGATAGCAGGGCAGGCATCAGAGGTGTGACCTGGGCCGGGCTCCAGCAGGCGGGCGGGTGGGTCGGCACCTACACAGTGATCTCCACATTGCTGCACATGGGACCGCCGCTCCGGGACACTTGCAGCAGCCAGTGCAGCAGCACGGTGTCTGGAGGCACTCGGAAGTGGAAGAGTCTGGCGCTGCCATACCAGCTATAGAAAGACAGCTTCTGCGGGGACTGTGAGAATTGCTCTGACACCAGCCTGATGTCTGCAGGGAAAAGGCACTGTCAGCCAGGCCAGGGGTGCTCTGAGGCAAGGGACAGACAGAGAAATTCAGAGGCCCTTCTGCCCTAGTACGGCTCCAGAGAGAAAGGAGAGGGAAACCAGAGTAGGCAGGTTGAAAGCCCCTAGGATGCCTGGCATTCCAACTTTGACCTTGGCAAAGGTCACTGTCCCCCTCCAGCCCCTGGCAGTTGTCTCTGGGAACTGGTCCCACTTAACAGGCAAGGGGGTTCAGGTCTGAAAGCTGGCTGCCTGCCCAGGCCCACAATGACTTGAGACATAGCCACACTGGAGCCTGAGTCTCTCCTCTCCCAGAGAGGTAGCAAGCAGAGACCTGGGAGGGAAGGGGACCCCAGGCTGGAAGCCTGGTCAGCTGGGGTGACCAGTGGATAGCTGGCTCCCATGCTCTCGTAGGTACGTGCCCATGCAGAGTGGCACAAGGACAAGGCAGGACCCAAGGCAGACAGACTTCCCATGCCCCCACCTCGGGCTCCCCCATACCCCAGTCCCTTCAGTGGTTCTCAGGCCCCTCCTGGAGTGTGCACTGACTGGGGCACAATCTCCATGAGAGCTTGTGTCCAGGTCCCACAATGTAATCATCTGTGGATGATTGGGTGGGTGAGGGTGCCCACCCAGGACTCTCCCTATTGGGGCTCCCACAGAACAGCATGCCCTGGGTGCTCTCTGCCATCCTGTAGGTAGCTGACCGGCCCTGGGGTCCGGCCACAAGGTGCCTGGGCTGGATGGCAGGAAGCCTGGCCCAGCATCAGCTCAGGCCTCGTGTCCCCTGTGACCTTGGGTGTCCTTTCCCTTCTCTGGGCCCCAGCTTCCTTGTGATTTGGCTGAGGTGACTAGCACCTTCCTTTGGGTGCCCCTCCCACCAAAGTTAATGAATATTAAAGTAATTCTAGAAGAAATACATGTGGACACAGCAGTGTGCTGCCTTTCTGTCCTCCAAGCTGGGTGCCTCCCCCTGGGAAAGTGGCCAATTCACACTACCCTAGCAGTGTGAGCCAGGTGAACAGGTAAGGGAGCCAGGTGAGCATCTGGCTCTCCTGCCAGCCTCCTGACCCTCCCATGGAGGAACCTTGAGAAAGATAATCCACTAAGAAAGCTCTGAGCTTTGGAGGAGCCCAGCATGCGGGGCTAAGCAGAAGTAGGATCCATGTAGGATGTACGCCAGGATTTCCAGATATTTGCTGGCCACCAGGTCCCACCCACTAGCCTGTGGCCTGAGGGCTAGGAGGCTAGGAGCCACTGAACTAACACAAACTTTTCTACTGAGGCTGCTGTAGCCCCTAGGATAACATGACAAGGGCCTGAAAACCTAAGTGCTGGTAAGTGAGGCAGGAGAGCCTCTCACCTCTACCTCAGCACCATGGGCCTTAGAGGTCATAAAGCTGGGCCCCCAGTTTCTGGACGGGTGCCTGACAGGGGAAGCCATCTTGCAGTGTGCAGTCCCCTGACCTGAGATGGGAAAGACCTTGCCCCGCCAACCCTAGAGTACCAGCCTAACAGCACCTGGGATCCAGCTGGTAGCTGTGAAGTTTTATCAGGCACACAAGAGATAAGAGACCTGCTCAAAGTCCCCCTAAGACCCAGTGGTTCCCTACTGTCAGGGTCACACACCCCCTCCAGCACCACCCCCTTAGCTCAGTAGGCCTACCTCCCTGCCCAAGATGCCCACATCATTATCTTGGTAAACATACAAGGCCATTAGCAAATTGGTCTGAGCTGGATGTGGAAGTCGCATTTCTAACATCAGGGAGCAAGGGCTTCATACACCCCCACCCTACCCCAAACCCCACTCCAAGGACACAGATTTGGGAGGAGGACAAAGAAAGTCTCTGAGCCTGTTCCGGGAACTTCAGTGAGGACGCCCTGTCCCACACTCTCCAAACTAGGAAGGGCATTTGATGCAAAGACCCTGCCCACCCACAGATCTCAGAAGCCAGGACTACACTTCTGCCTGCCCCTCAGCAGGCCTGGGAGGTAAGGAGCTGTGCCACATTTCCCATCGCCATAATCCCCTAAACAGTGACCCCCTAAACCAGCCCCAAACTTTAGGGTGGAAAAAAAAGAGAAAATAAATGTGGCAGTATCTAATGGAACAACTTAATCAGAAGCCATTTCAGAGAAACTATCTTTCACTTCAAGTTCAGAAACCAAAGACACGGTCCTCAAAGAAACCGGAGTTTGGAGGAGCAAGATTTCAGAGGAGGAGGGGCTGGAAGCAGGGAATGGAGGAACACAAGTCCCAGAGTATGTTAGATGAGCTGCCTAACTGCTCAGGAGGGCATCTGGGCCCTTGCAGCCCTGCCAGCCTGGCCACACGGCCTCCTGGAAGTCCCAGGTCATAGGTATCAGGGGAGCTTACCCAACACCTGGAAGTGTCCTAGCCCCAGAGAGAACCCTGATAGGCAGCACCTACTAGTCTAGACACCTCCTTGGGTCACGATCAGTGGGGACTCTCAAGGAGCAGAAATGCAAAGAGAGAGCAGTAAGTTTCACACCACTGAAGTACCCATTTCCTCAGAACTACCCTGGCCTATCAGGCTCCTCAGGGCCATCTGGGAGTCCCCCCAAAAAGTAAAGCCAGCTGTTGAAAGTGACTGCACTAGGGGTGGTGGTTAGTGTGGGAGGGGTGGAGACATGACAACCTAGGCCCCTATTCCAGGATCTATGCAACTTTCCCCCAAATCTGCCCCTCTCCCTGGCCAGATAGGGTCCTGGGAATCCCACTGCCCAACCTTTCCTTTTTAGTGGGCCTGGCAGCCGGAGCCCTAGCTGAGTCCCCCTGGACTCTTCCACCTCCACGACCTGAACGCGTTAGGAGGACGAGAGAAGGAAAGGCGCGCTCTAAGGGACCGGTCTGGCTGAACCCGGCTCTGGGGAAAGAGGAAGGGTCGAGGACGTCCTTTCCACCCTGACCGCTTGCACACGGGGCGCCCCGCAAGGAACTGACTTACGTCTCCAAACCGGGATGGGGTCTGGGCCCTGTGCCCGCGCCAGGTGAGCTCACAGGTGCCCCAGGTAAGTCACAATCCCGGCCCCGCCCCCCGGTCTCTGCCCCCCATGACCACCGCGCCCCGGG